CGAAGATTTCCACGTCGACAGGTGCGTAGAGGAACGCGTTGGCGACATCGATTTGCCATAGCTTCCTTTTCTTCATGGCGGCGATCGCGAGGAGGATTCGAAGTGAGGTATGTCGGCTAACCGGGGCGAATGTCTCGGTGAAGTCCCGTCCGTGCTCCTGATCGAATCCACGCACAACCCAGCGTGCTTTGAACTTCGCAATTGTGCCGTCTGCTTTCGTTTTAACGCGGAAGACCCATTTCCCGGTGAGAATGGTCTTGTTCCTTGCCACGCTGATGGGGACAACTTTCCAGGTGTTCCGTTCCTCCAGCGCCTTTAACTCTCTGTCCATGGCTTCACGCCATTTTTCCCTGTGTTCCCCCCCCAGAGCCTGCTGAACCGTCGCAGGCTCCTTAGGAAGAGTGTTGCCGTGGACTGCGGTGACGAGTCCGAGAATCTGCAGTCCAGTCTGTGAGTAGCGGGGAAGAGTTGCATCCTCGGGATAAGCTGCTTCATCTCCCGCTTCTGGATCAGGTATGAAATTCGGTCCTACTCGTTCTGCTTCGTTGGTGTTGACTGTCGCATGTGTTACGTAACCGTTGTCGGCGAAGTAGTAGAAGGTTTCGGCATTGACACTTTCGCGAGGGTTATCTTCGTCCATGGGGACGTCGACGGAGCAGAACGGAAGGGGTCCAGCTTCTTCTGATGCGTTGGCCACATTCTGCTCGTCCCAGTCAGCTTCGTCTGCTGCCGAGGCGAAGGCTCGGTCACCACGAAAACCACTTGTGGGATCTTGGTCCTCTTGCAGGTTGGCAAGGTATGTCTGGAGCGTGAGTCGTTCGTAGAAAATGACGTCGCGTGCTGCTACTGTTTCCTTGGAGTGGACGTCAAAGATTTTCCACGCGTTGTAGTTCTTTTCGATGCCGAGGTGTAGTCCCCACTGTGCGCGTTGTGAAAATCGGCCCGCTCGTGCTGCTGGGGGTCGGTACTGTACCATGCATCCGAACACTCGTAACATTTTTGTGCTGCCCTGTTTTCCTGTCCACAGCAGATGCGGTGATGCGTTGTTCGGTAGTGATGAAGATGAGAGCAAGTTGTGCAGCATGACAGCGTGGTCCATCGCGTCAGGCCACTGGTGGTTGGGTAGCCGCATGCCACGCAACAGTTTGCGCATGCTGTTCTGCAGAGTCCTGTTCATTCTTTCTGCTACACCTTGCTGCTGATGGCCGTAGGGAAGAGAGAGGAGCTGCTTGATTCCCCTTTCCGCCAGGTACTGCTTGAATCGCTGAGAGGTGTATTCTCCTCCTCCGTCAGACTGGAAGCTTTTCAGCTTTACGCCCGACTCTCTTTCTGCTACTGGTAGCCAAGCAGCGAATGCTTCGAGGACCATGTCGCGGCTGGGTAGGTTTAGATGCCAGACGTAACGGGTGGCGGCGTCGATGAAGGTGATTGTGTAGTTGTATATTACTTGTCCTGGTTCCCGATTGTACAGGATGTCGCTATACACCTTTTCGAGTGGTGCGTACGCGGGTGTGCTCGGGTTGTGATGAGGAGTGAACGGCCGATGTGGTAAGTCAGCTTCGGGGCAGGTAAGACATGTTCCTCGTGCCCGTTGAAGTTCTCTGCCGTCGAGTAGTAGTAACGAGTCCTTGTCAAGGACTCCTGCTCTTATTGTGTTGTTTAACACAGCGTTGCTTGGGTGTCCCATGCGTGCGTGCCAGATGTCTTCGGAGGCGCGGTGTCCGGGTGAGCGTCGATACGCGTCGGAGTTGGAGTAGAAGCTGGCGGTGAAGTTTGCGCTTCTATGGACTTCCCGTTGAGCCGGATTCAGCTGCTGTGCGGGTGTTGGTGGTGCTTCGTCAACGAGGAGTGGTGTCGTTGTTGCTGCTACTGTTGTTGTTCCTGCTACTGCCGATGATGTCTCTGCTGCTGCCGATGATGTCTCTGCTGCTGCCGATGTTGTCTCTGCTGCTGCCGATGTTGTCTCTGCTGCTGCCGATGTTGTCTCTGCTGCTGCCGATGTTGTCTCTGCTGCTGCCGATGTTGTCTCTGTTGCTGCCGATGTTGTCTCTGCTGCTGCCGAATGTTGTATTGTTACTAACGCACGTGTTCGTTCTGCTTCAGGAATGGTATGTGAATACCAAAAGCCTTCCGGACTGAAGTCGGGGTCGAGATCCGGCCGGTGCGTCCAAGATGTGAAGGTGACGATCCCGTCACTGTCTGCGGTGCCCAGGTCTGGGACGAAATCGAGAACGAAGACATTGTTCTTCAGGACCGCCTTTCCGATGTAGAGGCCGCCCTTCCCGTGGTACAGCTTGAACTCCTGGGTGGTACTGTCGGCTTCCAGATGTATGCCTTTCGCCATCAACTGACTGACGCTCAGTAAGTTGTAGCCAAGTCCTTCTGCTATTAGGACTTTGGACATTTGCAGTATGACATTCGTCTCTCGTGACTGAAGTTGCACTACTCCTTGTCGTCGTGTGCGCAGGTTCTGATTATTGGCGACAGTGATGACGACTTCTCGTTGAAGTTGGTGCTCGCGTTGAACGAAACGTCCTGAAGAGCACATATGTTGTCCGCAGCAACTGTCCAAGAACCATGTATCCTTCCCGGACGGCTCGCTTTGAGCGATGGCGGCGTACGTCGGGTTCGGTTGAAGTGACTCGCGGCGAGGCGTGCTGTTGTCGAGTTGTTCTTCTGGTGAGTAATATGGTGGTGACTCAGTTACGCAGGAGTCACTCAGCCTTGCCATGCAGCTGACGATGTTTCTTGTTCCTTTCGCAGGTTGTCCCGTCGATGTTGTTGAGACTTGTACTGAAGTTGTCGGATTTGCTTGCGTTGAGGCGACTTGACTGCTTGAAGGGCGAAGTTGGCGTTGCGGCGACGTTGACTGTTGTCGATTCGGGCAGTGCGTACGAGGATGCCCTGAAGTCTTGCAGAGGTGGCAGAACGGAGGTACGATTTTCGGTCGATTGTTGTTGTTGTTGTGGCGCCGTTGAGTGTGAAACGCGAATTCGGGCACTGATACCTTGCTCTTGTGTCGTTCTTCTTGCAGGTCCATGTCTTGCTGCTCGGCGTGGATTTCGGCGCAAAGTGCTGCTTCAGAAATTTTCCCGTGGGCTCGTAGTATGGCGCGAGTGGAGCGCTAGTGAGGACCAAGACCGCCGATGACAACCGTGACGAAGGCATCCTCTGAAATCGATCCTCCACATCGAAGAAGCTTGTCGCGCGGCTCGCGGCAGCGAGTGATATACGCCATTCCCTTCTCGCCTGGTTTCATTTCGATTGTTGTCAGCTGCGCCATTAACCGACTTTGGTTTACGCTGTCTGTTGCTTGATACAGGCTCTTCAAGTGATTGTACGCGAGCTCCGCGGAGTTGCCATAGCCTCGGTAAGACCGTATGTTTTGTTGTTGAGTTGGAGTGATGTTCCTCAGTAGTATCGTGTACGCCATCATCGATTGATAGGTGTACTGCTGCTTCTCATACTGTGTGCCGTTTGTTGGGTATGGCAGGGACCCGTCGAAGAAGCCAAGGATTTGCGCTCCTTCCATCATCAGCTCGAATTCGAACGACCAGGTAAAGAAATCCTTCCCGTCGAAGGGTTTTGTCGTTTGCAGTTTTAGAACGTGCGCGAACTGCGACTGAACTTGTAGTGCGTCCAGCGTTCTCTCTTGTCCCGGTGCAGGTTGTGGTTGTGGCATGAAGCTGACGGAGCCGCGCTGGGGCTCGTACGGAGCGAAGGTAGGTTGCTGTTGTTGATTCCCGCGTGCGTAGGATGAGCCATCGAGACTCATGGGCGTCACGTTGTTGTTGTTGTTGCTGTTGTTTGATTGCGCAGGTGCTCCTTACTGATGCTGCTCGTAGAAGGACATGAAGGAGAAGAACTTCTCCATCATGCTTGGATCGAAGCCCGCGCCTTGGTTTGCGGGTGTTTCAGTAGACCCAGCTGCCGGTCTTGTTGTTGTGCCTTCCTCTGTCTGTAGGCCAGAGGCAGGAGGTGGAGTAGGAGTAGTACCAGGAGAGCCGTTGGAGGAGCTCCTCTCCTTTCTGGTAGACATGTCTCTTGGTGTATTACGTGTTAAGGAGAAATAATTTTAACCCTAACCAGCTCTCATACCATGTTGGGCTGAGTGCCCCTTAGGATCTTTGGTAGGGTTAAACTCTGGGTAGAGTGATGTGGTAGCGGAAGCGTTTAAATGAAGTCCTTGAACCACCTTGCGCTGGTATGTGAGGGCAAAGTAAGTTGATTAAAACAAGCAAGTACAAAGGTTTATATAAGAGTACAAAGAATACGAAGAGATATAATTAAACTGTTTTACTGTTGCGGTTCGATACAGTGCGACTCGGGCAACTGCTCAATGTCGAGTCAGTTGTGTGTCCTTGCTGTCGCGCTGCATTTGTCAAGTCAAAGGTCGCTGGCCTTTGACTTTCGCGTAACCTCCAGCGGTTACTTCAACCTCCGAGGGTTGACTCGCTGGTGCCTCGATATGCTCTGCTTCGCTTGTGCCTTGGTGTTTCGACACGACAGAGGCGCTTAAGTTTGTTTGTTCCCAACACATTCTACTTGTACCCCTCCCCCTTTCCTAGTCACCCATTCTCGCCTACTATTCTAACACAAAGACACGACAGTTTGCCCCTATGCCAGCACATCTTGACCTGACGCGGAGCTTCTGAGGTTTTCGCGAGTCAAACGAAGCGATTAAGAAATTAGGCTCGCTTCAATTTTGAAACTTGTTACTGTGTTTAGCAGGTTTTAAATAAAACTTTATGCATGCGCTTATAATAAAACAGGGTTTTACAGGGGGTGCGCTTATAATTGAGGATCGGCCATAAGCACATTGCTCCAGATTTAAGCGCATGCGCTTTTAATAGGCCTGCGCTTATATCCGGGGCGATACGGTACTACACTTCTAGTCTAGCATGCAGTTACATATGAATAAAATCTCAACAGGAACCGTTGACTCCCAACACAGTGATGGCTCCCTAAGAACACCACTTCAATGGCATTCCGAGACCAGTTCAGGAGGAGTCCAGGGGCACTCGAGCCGCTCCACAGGGGATCCCAGCACAGCACAGCACAGCAAAGCACAGCACGGCACAGCACAGCACAGCACTGGCAGAAGTTCTGCAGCAGATGAAGCAAGAATCAACCATCAGTTTACAGCTCCATAGCAACACATCATTAATAGGGGAGAGCGGAAGAAGAGGGAGAGGGTGCAAAGGAGGGGCTGAGGGTGGAAAGGAGAGGGAGAGGGTGGAAAGGAGAGGGAGAGTGGAGAAAGGGGTGGAAGAGGGGAAGGAGAGACAGGGGGCAAGGGAGAAGGCAGGTGCTATGGGAGATGCAGGTAAGGGGCAGAGGACAATGAAAGGGAACTTTTGAGGCGCATCAAAACAGGGCATAAGGGAGAAGGCAGGTGGATGGGGAGGAGTTAAGGGACAGAGAAAACACAGAACGAGAGAAATGGCATTGTGGGAAGGAAAGAGAGAAAGCAGGGGGCGGAGAGTGGGTGATGGTGAAACGCTTAGAAATCGAGGGTTTACAGAGGCGACTGGAGGCTACTCGCTACTGGGGCATGCATTGACTGTAGACGCCACGGTAGCCCTGGGCGCACTGGCATGCCACCCCACTACAGGCGAAGCTATTGGGGAGGCTTACATTACAGTACGAAGGAAGGCTACTTGGGCTGGCACTGGCCGTAAACGTCATAGTAGCCCTGGTCGCACATGCACCCCACCTCCTGCCTGTCGTTTGTCTTGACGCACGTGGAGTGTTCAGGGCACGTGGCCCGGCGACAGATGTTGTCTGCAGCACATTGGAGCACATGGGGTGAGAGGCATGGGGTAAGAGGCAGTGAGAGGCATGCAAGGTGGACAAAAACGATTGGCGTAAAACAGATGGCAGCCGCAGGGCAGAGATGGTAGCAGCAGGGCGTAGGAGAATGGCCAATGCTTGGGAAGGAACAGTACGGCACTCACTGAGAACGCAGCGGATGGACTTCACTGATGCATCCGTCTTGATGGCACTGCTCACACACATGAGCACAGGAAGGGGCGGGGCACGTGGGAGGGGCTTTAATTTCAACTCAAAAGTCAACGCAGATGGACTTCAGTGTTGCGCCCATCTTGGTGACACTGTTCTCACACGCACACAGGGGGGAGGGAGACATGGGAGGGGCGCATGGGAGGGGCGCATGGGAGGGGCGCATGGGGGGGGTGCATGGGGGGGGTGCATGGGGGGGAAGGGCGCATGGGGGAAAGGGACGCATGGAAGGGGAGCATGGGGGGGGCGCATGGGGGGGGCGCATGGGGGGGGCGCATGGGGGGGGCGCATGGGGGGGGCGCATGGGGGGGGCGCATGGGGGGGGCGCATGGGGGGGGCGCATGGGGGGGGCGCATGGGGGGGAGGGGCGCATGGAGGGGCGCATGGGAGGGGCGCATGGGAGGGGCGTATGGGAGGGGCGTATGGGAGGGGGGAGGGGCGTGCGGACGGACGGGCACATGGGGAACGATTGAGGCATGAGGGGATTGGGGTGTGGGCGGGAGGCGGCATGTGAGTAAGACGTGCAAAGGCGAGCAGGAGGAGTAAAAAAGCTTCGTTGCTCGCCAGCAAAAAACACGTGAGTGCTCACCTCATGTACCCCCGGAGTGCTCACCTCATATACCACAAAGAGCTCACCTCATGTACGCTGTGTTTTGGTACTTTGCCGCGGGTGTGCCCGAGCAGTCGGGCGACGCGAACAGCTGCACCGCGTCGCACGTAGTGTGATCCCCAAACACGTCCCACCACACCAGCACGTCCGCCTTACCACCGCTGCTCCTCGCCCCCCGGGCGATCTCAGGCGTGAACACGCAGCGGTTACGGTGGAAGTAGATGGGTTTGGGTTTAACGAGCGAGCCGCCGAGCACCACCGTGCCCAGTCGCAGCTCCGCGGGAACCACAAGACGGGAAGCCGCCGCGTTTGCTCCCATCGCTGCGCGGATAATGTTACACGGAGGGCGAGGCCAGGATGGGAAGGGAAGAGGTCGGAACGGGAAAGTAAAAGGTGGTCGAACGGGAAGCGCAAAACCTAGCTAGAGATGGTTCGCGAAGGTGTATGGAAGGAGCGTGACGCCGGGGACTGAATAGCGCATTCTGTGAACTCCGCACCAGCATCATGGGGAGGAAGTTTACACGAGCACAGCACACAGGCCTACGAGGAGAGAGGTTGAAAGGGGAGGGTGGAAGGCTGAGGCGTACCGAGGAGGATGGCAGCGACGATCCACGCGGCCGCGGCTTTGGAGTGTCCCATCCGAGTCATGCTGACTTGGGCTGGTCGCACAGCTGTTGCTCGTGGCGAGGGGGATGATTGTTCGGTAGAGATCGGTGAGTAGGTGTCCTTAGCCTCGTAGCACAAAGCGTAGCGGCGATTCCACCGTGGGCGAGAGGGACTGGAGGTCTCGAATTCAGCAGCGACGGAGTGAAGCAGTGTAACAAGGGGCACCTGCGCGGGAGCCAGCGTGAAGTGCACGGGAGGCGGAAACATGCAGCAGCCGCGTGCAAGGGTGAACGTGGGCAGCGCAGGGGAGAACGTGGGCAGGACGTGGGGGACTCATGTGAAGAGGACGAAACAGAGGTTTCGTGCCTTGAATGACTTTGACGGACTTACGCGTGGGACAGGTGGCGGAAGTCCAGATTTGAAGGAATAGAAATGTAACACGTGTTCAATTGCAGTGAGTAGTACAAATGTAAATAGGAAAGGTAGAATGCGGTCCGATGTTGGGGCTGGCCACCCGAATTAACATCTCGAGCCGCATGTCTGAATTGTAAATGTACTGTACATATAAAAATGCATTCGTAGGATAGAGAGAGTAGTTTTGCTGTTTCTCTTTCTGTTTGTTCTTCCTTGCTTCTAAGGAAAATCCTTAGGTGAAATTCTCAGCCAGAAACACTAGAACAAGCCCAAGAGCCGTTGAGCTTGTTCCACTTGGTCTCAGAGCCTGTTTTTTCCTCGTGAGTTGCTGCCGGGTAATTTTTGCACCATGGCCGATTCAGAGCGTGATGCCGCGGTTCGAGAGCTCGTAGCCAAGGAGGTGCAGGCTGCCCTGCAGAACGCAGCTGCACAGCAAGGAGCAGCTACAGCTCCGGGAAGCGTAGTGGGATCTCTTTCCCATGTGAGAGCATCGATGCCGGACACCTTTGTTCCAGGGAAAGGACAACCGGTGGTTCGACGATGGCTCTTCCTAGTGGAAGAATATCTACGCTTGAGCCATGTGGCTGGTGAAGAGTGGGCGCCGTTCGCTGGAACCCACAGGGGGCCGAGGGGGGTCACCTTGGCGAACGCCTATTTGGCTGAGTAGTGGCTCGCTCTGAAACTCGGCGTCCAGGTACAGATGGGATGGGGCTCCGTATGAGAGGCAGACTAGAGGTAATAAGTGTTCAAGGTCTATCTTCCTGATGGCTTTGACAATGGTGCTGCGGCTTATGCTATTGAAAGCATTAGCCAAATCCGCTTGCAGGATGAGGGCGCCCAGGCTTGCGCTCATGTATGCTCGTGCTGCGTGGATAATAGCCTCGCTGCCTCCTTGGACAGCTACCCTGAACTTTAGCGGGAGGAAGATGGAGCGGGCGGCATCGGTTATGGCGAATAGAGCGGATTTAGCGGCGAGGCGGAGGAGGCACTCGCCGATGGCTATGGGTTTGGTGCCGCCTTCTGGTTTTTCGAGGTCGAGGAGCCTTAACGAGGTGATTAGATTGTTGATTTCAGCTGGGAGAGAGCCACGCATGATGGTGTTAATGAGTGTATGGAGGTGGGAATTGACCGCCGCGTTAGTGATAGCTGCATCTCTCAGATGCTCGAAGGCCATTCCTGACGGGCCCGCCCCTACTCCATTCTCGGTTCTGCAAAGCAGCTTCGTGAGGGCTGCCTTGTCGATGGAGGTTGGTGTAAGTGTGGGGTTGGTGGTCCAGTCTATGGGCTCGTCTGAGGAGGTTGGGTGTTTGGATCTCAGAGCGTCAAGCACCTCAGTTGATGGGGAGTTGACTGCGGCTAGAGCCGCCTCGTATAGGGTTCCCCACTCGCCTTCAAAGAATTGGCGGAGCCGTGCAGTCACAGCTGGCCAATCAGGCTTATTGGGGTTAGTCTGGCGCAGTAACAGACGCGGGAGAAATAGCAGGAGATGCCAGTCTGCCACTGATTCTGGATTTCGCGCGAGGTGCAGCAGCGGCGTGAGCCGTGCCATGGCGAATTGGGGACGGGTATCATGCGGGAGTTTTCTTGACAGTGGGGGTTGGCGACTGTCGCGAAGTAGGGTCAAGTCCCAGTTCCCCACTTCGCTGAATAATGATTGGTCCCTCACCAGCTGCTCTAGCGAAAATTGGCGGGGAGGTTCTGGGTTTGAATTTCGTCCAGGTGCGTGTTGGGAACTTCCCCCCCTGTTGGCAACGTCGTGAGATGCGGCTCAACTTGGTGTTGGGAAATTCCTTCGATGTCGTGCACATTGATTTTCCTCTTCCGCTTCAGCACTTCCTTTAGTCGAGGACTCCACTACTACTTCTTGAACATAAGTTGCGTCCCTAACCTCATCGTCTTCATTAGCAGCCTCGTTTTTTTGCCTACTTAAAGCTCGACCTGCAGCCCTTTGGAAGCCATTCATCGGCCCTCTGTCTGCCGTTCCTGCGCTGCACCTCCTACTCTCTCGTCCTCCGTTTGTTGCACGCGCCGATTGCCGAGGAGACTGCGCGTTTGCCAACGCCCTTTGCCGCTATGTCAGCGGGGCGCGCACCTCCCCCACGTTTATGTCTCATGGCTGCTGAGGCTGCGCAATCGGGAGTGGAGCTCTCTGCTGCTCCGGTATTTGCGGGGGGGAATTCCGCGGAGAGTGTTCTCGCCCCTGCTCCGCTCCTTGTTCCATCTGCACCGTCTCGATCTCCTGTGCTCGAGCTCTCCGCCGATGTTGAATTCCGTAACATCTCCACCGAAATTTCAGACCTTTCAACGGCTGAGGCGCTAGACAAGTTTAAGCGCGGGTTGAAAGACGACGTTAGGATGGAGGTAGAGGTGCAGGGCTGTAGTTCGCTTGAGGAGATGGCGCGTGTCGCTGAACGTTACGATGAGATTCACTTTGGTAACCGTCGCAACAGTTTCAACCGTGGGATGCGGTTCAGTCCGAACATGTTCCAGCCTTTCCATGGGGAGCAGCGTGGTGGTGCAGGACCGACACCAATGGAGCTGGATGCGATTGATAAGAACAAGGAGAAGCGGAAGGGCTTTGCTGGAAATTGTTTCAAGTGTGGGAAACGCGGTCACAAAGCGCTCAACTGCCCTACCAAGCCTAGCCGGGAAACAAGCCTCACCAGTAGCTTCGGGGCGAGTTTCTGGTGATGAGGAGTGCCCCACCTTGCTGACTCCATCCTCAACACCGCTGCAGCAGGAGTCGGAAGGAGCAATTGTACTTCGGGGGCAGATTCGTGGTAAGGAGGTAAAGATGTTGCTGGATAGTGGTGCTTCATCCAATTTCATTTCTTCTCGCCTGGTGCATGAATTGAAGTTACCTGTGCAGAGCAGTACAGTGGAGAGTACGGTGCGCATGGCGGATGGTGTAGTGAGGAGCTGTGGACCTGAGTTGTACCCGGTCAACTGCAACATAGGGGAGTTTCATGGGAAGATTCGGTTTCAGCAAATCTGGCTAGACAGTCATGACATCATCTTGGGCAGGAACTGGTTGGCAGCAGTGAACCCTCAGGTGAATTGGAGAACCAGGGAGGTCAAGGTGCTGTTTGGGGGAAGATCTGTACGCCTACCAGTGGTGCAGCAGCAGGAGGGGATGACCTTGCAGCTGATTACTGCGAAGCAGTTTGGTAAGGCCATTCGGGGGGAGGAAGCAGTTTTTCTAGGTCTCATCACAGAGGTTCAGCCTACATCACCCGACGCAGTAACACCAACGGTTTCAGCATCACATGAGGATGAGGAGTTAACACAGGGTGCGGAGAAGCTGCTGGAAAATTTTTCAGGGGTGTTTCCTGAGGACTTACCGGCTGGACTTCCTCCTAAGCGGGCTGCAGATCATAGGATAGAGCTGATTCCTGGATCTACCACACCGGTTAGACCGACCTACAAGATGAGTGCAGTGGAGCTGAAGGAGCTGAAGAAGCAGTTAGAGGACCTAATAGCTAAGGAGTTCATTCAGCCTAGTTCTTCTCCGTACGCTTCTCCGGTGCTGTTCGTGCGGAAGAAGGACGGTTCTCTGCGGATGTGTGTAGATTACCGTGGGCTGAACAAGATAACAGTGAAGAACCGGTACCCATTGCCACGGATAGATGAGCTGTTCGAGCAAGTTGGTGAGGCACGATACTTCTCGAAGCTGGATCTGCGTTCGGGGTATCATCAGGTACGGATTCAGAGTGAGGACATCCCAAAAACAGCATTCCGAACACGGTATGGTCACTATGAGTTCCGTGTGTTGCCCTTTGGTCTCACCAACGCTCCAGCCACCTTCCAAGGCATGATGCAGAGCATTTTCAGTGATTTCATTGACAAGTTTCTGGTGGTTTTCATTGATGACTTGCTGGTTTACAGTCGCACTCGTGAGGAGCACCTGAAGCACCTTGAGCTGGTCCTTGCACGACTGAGTGAGCACAGATTGTATGCCAAGCGTTCCAAGTGTGAGTTCGGCAAAACTAAGCTCTCATTTCTGGGTCATGTCATTTCTCATGGGAAGCTGGAGGTGGACAATAGTAAGGTAGCAGTGCTGAAGCAGTGGAAGCAGCCGAGTACAGTGAAGGAGGTGCAGGCGTTCTTGGGGTTAGCCAACTACTACCGGCGGTTTGTGAAGGGATTTGCAGCAGTGGCAGCACCTCTGACCGATCTCTTACGGAAGGATTCTTCATTCTCTTGGGGACCATTGCAGCAGCAAGCTTTTGAGCAGCTCAAAACTTCTCTGACTTCACCCCCTGCCCTAGCAGTACCGAATCCAGAGCTCCCGTACTTCAT